GGAGAAGGGATTACAGTGTGACCATCCCCCCTGGGGGGTGATTTCTCGCTTTCTGCCTGTCTCTCTCTGTCTTTCTGGCAAATGCACGTGCCCTATAGCAAAAACCTCTCAAAAAAAAAAAAAAAAAAGGACTTATCTCCTCTCACCCTCTCCTTGTTTTACAGATAAAGAAACTAAATCTCAAAGTGGTTAAGTCACTTGCAATTTTTGGCAATGTCTCCCACTTCTCCTGGGTATACACATAAGCCCTTCACAAGCCTCTCTGAGCGTAGCACAGATGGGCCAGACTTGGCCGGGCCATCAGACTCCAGACTCGGGTTGTTTTTAGAAATTCAATCACATCATGCCACAGAAGATAGATTGGCCTGACTGCCAACTGCCCAGCCAGAAGTTTCTCTGGTTCATGAGCCTAAAAGGGTGCCTCCTTCCTCATCAGCTGACTATACAGGATACCATCAGCTATCTCTTCCTACGCTTGGGAGAATCAAAGGCTTGGTGGAGTGCCTAGGAGGAAAAAAGAAATCTCCGGGAGTAGCACAGTCCTCGGGGTCAGACTGAGTCTGTACCGCACTGGGAATGGCAACACGCCTCTCTAGAGAGCGGCTAGTTCTTTTCTCATCTGCTAAACGGAGGCCGAAATTCCCAGGTAGGGGATGTCTCTTGCAGACACTGTCGGAGCCTTGTGCATATTCTGTCAGCAGGCAGCATTTCCAGACCCTAGTCACTTCCTGCCGCCCGCCCGGGACATTTGTCGGAGGGCTTTCTCTGGCCGCATGAGTCTTGCTCAGGCCCAGCTAAACAGGCAGAGTGGAAGTGCAGGAAGACATGATCCCCCTGGAGGAACCCTCCACTGGTGACCAACAGGGGCTGGTGTGTCAACGTCCGTCTCCGGGTCTTCTCTGGTTCGTGGTTCTAGACCACCTCACGGAGGTCCTCAGTGGGAGTGGGCCCAGACACCCAGAGTAGGAACCTGCTCAATGGCATTCTCAGCACTGGTTTGTGTTCCTTTCCTGTCTCAGTCTGCCGTTCTTCTACCAGCTTTCATGTATGAACCCCCACATTCAAATCCTTATGACAGGGTGTTTTTCTGGGGGAACCCAACCTAAGACAAAACAACCCTTTGAAGGGTCATTATAGGAAACCCTGGTAGGAGAAAACAGTTGGTAGCCAGCCTTGTGACCTAGTGGTTAAAAGAGCCAGATCCAGGAGCCAGCAGGTGGCATGAAGGTTGGGGCACTGGACTCCCACATGGCCTACTATGGTTCAAGTCCCAGATCTGGTGGCTTGAAAATCATGCTAAGCCTGTGTGGGTGCATGCCTCATATCCCAGGAGAATGGAGGAGAAGGGATAATGGTGTGGCCATCCCCCTGGGAGGTGACTTCTCACTTCCCTTCTCGCTGTCTGTCTCTCTCTGGAGAACACATGTGTCCTATGGCAAAAACCATAAATAAATAGATGAGAGAGAGAGAGAGAGAGCTGGATCCTGGGCCAGCAGGTGGCATGGAGACTGAGGCGCTGGATCCCACATGGCCAACCACTTGGTTTGAGTCCTGGACCAGGCAGCTTGAAAATCACACCAGGCACGTGTGCGTGCATACCCCAAGTCCTGAGAGGACACTGGAGGAGAGGAATTATTATTATTATTGCTTTTAAATGCTGACCCTTTAAAAAAAAAAAAAACTTTTATTTATTTATTTTAATTTGACCAGAAAGGGTCAGAGTACATGAGAGAGAAAGAGAGAGAGAAAGTAAGAAAGCAAGTTGCCAGGTCCAGGATTCGAACCAAGCTCAGCTATGTGAGAGTCCAGCACCCTTTATGATTACGAGAAAGAGAGAACATTATAAATCACCCCCTGGGGAGGTGGTGACACTGCAATCCCTTCTCCTCTCCTCTCCTCTTGTGGTTCTGGCACACAAACACATATACCTGGAGTGTTTTTCCAGCTGCTGGCTCTGGAATTGGAATCACAGTCGACCATGTGCAATCCAGCACCTTGGCCTCCACGCCACTTGCTGGTGCCCCACTTCTTTTTCTGCTGCTGGAGGGCGCGTGCACTTGCCAGAGAGAGACAGAGAGGGGTAGAAAGTGCCTCCCACGTTCTGGTCATGCTGCGATCCCTTCTCTTTCGCTTCTTCATCCTGTAGGCATTTGGGGCATGCACATACACAGGCCCAGCATGATCTTCAAGATGCCAGCGCCAGGGCCAGGCTCTAACCACGCTCGCTTACAGGAGATCTGGCTCTCCCTACACTACAGAGGCGACTCGTGGATCCTCTGTAAAGATACCGAATGAGCTTCTTGGAGATAAGGTTTCCGAAATGAAGCCTTCCCCATCCTGGAATCTTGGGATCTTGTAGCCTCAAGGCCTACTTTCTTGTTTATTTATTTAGTAAAGAATTACTTTATTAATCTTTACTTATTTATATTTATTTTAGTTTGACCAGAGAGAGACAGAGCAAGAGCAAGAGACAGAAACAGAGAGAGAAAATGAGAAAGCAAGCCACCAGGCCCGGGACTCAAACCGTGGTCAGCCATGTGGGAGTCCAGCGCCCCTACTCACCATGCCACCTGCCGGCCCCCTTTTGTTCTTTCTAAATCAAAGTCTGGAAATAAACAGGCCTTGCCTACCTAAAAAAGCTTTCATTTAAGAAAGAGGTCAAGCAGAGGGAGACCAGTGTAGACTCAGCGGAGGATGTCAGAGTCAACTCCCTTGAAAATTCAGTGCAGTCTCTTAGTCTTGAGTCAGGTGCAGCTAAGCAAAACTACCAAAAACAATACACAAATCAAAAACCTGGAAAAGAAAGACCAACGGAACAAGTGACCACAGAGAAAGGGGAGCGAACCCAGGGAGCAGAAGGAAACGTAAGTTAAAGCAAACGGGCAAACACAACATGGCGGTGCGTTGGCGATGCTCAGACCTTCCTGACGCTTAGACCACTGGGGAGGTCCCCGGTTTATGTCCCGAGGCGACCTGCACACGGCGGGCACATGCACACGTATGCACATGGAATCCTGGCTTGCTGCGGGGCTAGGAGTGGATTGCAGTGTGAACACCCTGCTGGACGTAACTCACTCTCTCTCTCTTACAAAGTAAATAAATAATTAAAGTTTTTTAAAAAAGCCCTCATGCTCTCAGTGACCTCAAAAAGACTGGAGAAGCTATTTATAAAGAAGAACAGAATGCTAGGAAGAAAATAAACGGCAGGAAAAAGCAGATATAAAAAATGCAAGAGTTTGAGAGAAACAAAAAGGCAATCTTCCAAGAAATGGAGCAAAATCAAAAAAAGGGAAAATATTACAGAAGAAGGAAATTTAGGAAGTTTCACCCAAAGAATAGGAGGCCAGTGAAGAGAAAATATGGAAACCAGAAGGAGAAAATTATTATTTTAGAGAGATTTTTGCTATAGGGTTTGTGAGCTTATTAGAGACAGAGAGACAGAAAGTGAGAAATTACCAGAACCAGCGGTTAGCGTAATGGCTATATTGCTGGACTCCCATGTAGTTAACCATGGTTCGAGTTCCAG